CATCTGTTACGGGATAGAACTCACCACCTACGCTCGTCACAGGTCGAATGGGTCACTAACCTCTAGACCAAGCCGAGCAGATCGAGAACTTCGCCCGGCATCCATGAAGTTGCTGCAAAAGGAGAAAAATAGTTACTCAATAGACTTTCGCTATAAGCAAACATGAGAAAGCGCCAGACATTCCACTCACGAGCATAATTCCAACCCTCGGGAAACGACATAAGCTCCACGAGGACAATGTCAGCCGTCCGGACTCGGACGAATCAACTAATCCACTCTTCGTCATCACCTTCTTCATCATCAACAATGAATGGCGTGGACGAGCGGCACCTCAAAGTTAATAGGCCTCGGTGATGAAAGGGACGGTACAGCCTGACAAGGTGGCTGAGCGTGAAGTCAAGCTCGGCCTTCTCCGCAAAAAACCTTATCATCAACACCACTCGCCAAAACGACGGATGTATCTGTGCCAGGGTAACCCGATACTTCAAGCAGAAATCAAGCACAATCCTGTCTAGGGGGCCAAATGCAAAGGAATATAGGTACACGCTCAAGAATCCGTCAGCAAAGTCCGTAATGCTTTCACCCAGGAAAAGCGCCTGCAGTGTTATCTCCTCGCTACATCCGCAATATCTCCTTACCATCTCCAGATATTCCTCCCTTATCAAAGATACAGTCTTCGGAGGGAACTCCCGCGGATCCTGAACGCTGAGCGTGGAACTCTCTCCCTACCGGGCCGGCCCCGAAGTAGTTGCCATGACTATAATGGAATTGATAGACTAAATCAAGAACGTGCACCAACGCTTTTTGTGCCTAAAAAAATGAAGAACCCTATGCCAAGGCGAAAGGGTATCTATCTAAAATAGTAAGGCCTTTTGAAGAAGCCAAAACCGCCCCATATGTATGCGAAAAACATCGATGATTCACCTATATGGAGTGAGCCCAGGGAAACCAACGGTCTCGACACAGATCCCGGAGCGGTACCTGACCCAGAGGCATCCATCGACAAGAAGTTAGGCCTGAAAGAGTCAAATGTATTGTCTCCAGTCTCGAGGTAGTGCCCGACCTTGAGGATCTCCGCCAAAAAAGAGAAGTCAGGCTTCGAGAAGCCTTCAATGCCATCATTGAACTCGAGGTGTTAACCAATCTCATGGTTTCCCTTTTTCGAAAGAAAAACAAGCACGCGAAGCTCCGGTTACGAAGGCTCCATGAAGGCTCGAGGCAACGCCTGAGCACAAGCAACCCCTCAATAGAAGTCCATCCCCTACGCTTTAAAAATTTATCTGCATCAAGTTCAAAAGAGACCCCAAGTACCCAAAGTTGACCTTCACTCAGGTTACCATTCTCGAAAGCTCCACTCAACATACTATCTCCATGCAATTCGGAGGGCCTGACAGCCCGAACCTATGGGATAAATTCCGGCTTGGTCCGAGGTATGACAAGGGGCTAGGAAAAGAGCCATATCAGTCAGTAGAAGATCGGAGAGAATGCTCGCATCCGAATTAGATATCAGCGGTCAACAACAAAGCAAAACATTCAAAAGCCTCGAAGGGCACGAGAGCATGCAATAATAAGGTGAAAATCGAAAATAGAAGTCAATGAAGTATATTCATATTCATAAAAATCCATATACAACGGCCCTCGAGGGGTCCTTACATACAATTACAAGAGCCTATAAAGGATCTCCACTCATGAAAGAAGAAACAAAAGGATGCACACGCGAAGTAAAGGCCTGGAGATCGGTCCACCTTCGAAGGTTCGCCTCCTACAACGGGTGCCTCCGGACGCACATCCTCAGAAACCTCATCCCGACCTTCCACACTGATATCCCCGAAGAATGGGGTGAGAAGCCGGGAGGGATGAAAAAATGCCATAGATCTCCGAAGCTTGAGGACCCTCGCTAGCCAAGAGAACCTCGGAGAGACAGCGAACTGAACAACCCTCCCTCAGGGCTCGTCGAGGCCCGACTCAAAGAAGACGAAGATCGAACCCAGAACAGAAGGGGAAGCTCCCAAGGCACACAACTAAGTCTAACAGGTCTAGCCTATCCAGAGCCTACGCCGAAACATCGCGTCTAGCCATCACATCTCCATACTTTATAATTAATGCCCATGAAAGGGAACCCATACTACCTTATAAAAGGTTGATGTTGCTCCAATTACTTCTCCACAAGATCAATAATCTCTCTCTCTCTCTCTCTCTCTTCTTTCTAACTTGTTCGTTCTCTCTAGCTCGAGGCCACTTTAGCATTTATAGCTTTCTTACTTGTTCTTCATCTATTTCTTGGTCTTGGCCATAAGGAGTCTTGATTAATCGTATCTTAACTGTTATCCCATTCCCGAATACCCCCAATAGCTCGAGATCGAGCCCAGGTATTGATCCCGAGGTCCTCTATTGACCAGTCCTATACCCGGGCAGCAGGCCTCTCGGTTTGATTACTACCTCATTTTAGATTGCATTTTATCATTAAACTTTATATTCCTAGCATCATCTGCTCTAACAACTAGCATAAAATAGATCACATATTTTTATAATCTCATTTACAAATTTAATTATTGTTACCATTTTCACGGTAAACAATCATTTCTGTTTTGGTTTGATTTTCGTGATTTCTGAGAGCTCGAGAGACTGGAGAGGTTGGTGACTGAGTTGGGGCCTGAGTGCCAAGCTATAAATGCTATATATATATATATATATGTGTGTGTGTGTGTGTGTGTGTGTATGTGTGTGGATGGGGTTGCATGCTGCAACGACCCTTATGGTTGTATATATATGGATCGGGTTGCACGTCGCAACGAGCCTTATGACTATATATATATTTATGGGATCGGACAGCACGCCACAACGTATTTTATTGATTTATGCCATGATTGACTTGATATAGTGCTTGGGCTGAAGGAGTTCCTCCGGAGTCTGTACACACCTCCAGTAAGCGTAGGAACCTACTGAGTGTGAGTGCCGAGTGCTGAGCGAATGAGAAGGGCTGAGTGTTTGTTGCTCTGAGAGGATGCTTTTGATTTCATTATCGTTGCACTTAGCTGCCATATATCACTATCTTGAAATTTTTGAAAGACATTATATTATGTTTTCCTTGAACTTGACATGAGGTAACTGATTTGACCCGAATTGTCGAACTTGAAAGCATGCCCACCTTTCTATGTTGATATTACTACAATTGAAATATAACTCTGAAGCTCGTCACTACTTTCAGTTCTTTATTTAGTCTTGTTACTTGTTGAGTTGGTTATATTCACGTTACACCTTGCACTTCGTGTGCAGATCCAGATATTTTCGGGCACGGTGGGTGTTAATTCACTGCGCAGTTGAACCTTTGGAGATTTTGAAGTAGCTACTCGACACTTTCGCAGACCATGTTTCTCCTTCCCTATCCCTCCACTTATTGTATTTTGTTTCGAATTATGATAGATAGTATTTTCCCAGCTTTGTGATATTTAGATGCTCATGTACTCAATGACACCCCGATGTTGGGAGTTTTTCGCGCTGTGTTTTGGATTTTTCTATCCTGTTTACGAGAAGTTTCACTATTTAAGCTACATTAAATCCATTTTCTATTAAAAATGTTGGAGTTAATTCGTAAATGTCGGCTTGCCTAGTACCATATAGGCGTCATTATGACATGTTAGGATTTGGATCGTGATACATATGGAGAGATAAGGACGGAATATGATATGAATAGATGATGATATGGTGGGATCGGGTTTTCCGCCGCAACGAATTTGATGTATTGTAGTTGTTTGTGGCTGTAGAGATTGTTCTCGGTATTGTAATGAGATTCGAGATTATGTGATTCTAGGGCCCTTTGGTAGTTGGCCTACAGATCCAGTTATTTGAGTTTATTATTTTATTTCAATTCATGCTTCTGTTATTATTATTTCGTGTTGTTTTTTTTGTAAGTGACTTGCCATAGTTTTGTCACTACTTTGTCGAGGTTAGGTTCGGTACTTACTAAGTACATGGGGTCGGCTGTACTCATGCTATAATTTTGTATTTCTTGTGTAGATATTAGTGTTGGTCCCATCTGCGCATAGTGGAGATTGCTTGGATTGACAGCTACAAGAGACTTGAGGTAGAGGTGCTGGTGTTCGCAATCCCTGAAGTCCCCTTATACCATGCCTTACTATTATTATAGTTCAGACAGTATTATATTTTACTTCAGACTATGTTTGTACTATTCTAAATACTCATGTACTTGTGACTCTAAATTTCTGGGAGCAGTTTAATACCACGTTATTATATTATTACTGTGTTCATTTCTGAGTTACTAATTGTTAATTATCATCACCTTATAATAACTGTCAAAAAATTGATTAATAGATTATCTAACGTCGGCTTGCCTAGCAAGTAGATGTTAGCACCATCACGACCCTGATGTTGGGAATTCCGAGTCGGGACAGATGCACCCATGTCCACACCTTCAGGTTAATCTTCTTTACATACTTTTATCAATAACTCTTCAATTAAACCCTTTCCCACATTAGACCAACCAATTCACCATGATATAAATCTCACCAATTAAATGGAAATTTCGCAAAACATTGATAGCTTCATTCCACTATCCTCCAAAGTAAACAAAGATTATGTTTCCCATGGAAATTCTCCATCATTGTTAAGCTCTTCGGCAAATCTGTCGGTCACACCCTCCTCAAATAAAAAATACAAGGCCTTTGGAAACGTACAGAAGAATTTCATCTAGTCGATTTAGGCTCACAATTCTATCTCACTAAATTTAAGAATGTAGAAAATATTCAGCAGACTCTCTATGACGGCCCTTGGTTCATCCTTGGCCATTTTCTTTCGGTACGACAGTGGGAACCTAAGTTTATAGGTTCTAATACACAACTCACCTATCCATCTATGTAGTTATGATTGTCTGAATTACCTACAGAATACTATGATAGTGAAATCCTTTACCGAGTGGGTAATAATATTGTCCAATTACTCAAGATCGATACTTTCACATTTACCACTACCAAGATTCATTATGCTCACCTATGTATTGAAGTCCCTTAAGAAAAACCCTTAAACCTCATGTTTTTATAGGTCACTATAAAAAATTAATTCTCTACGAGGGCTTTAATTTATCGTACACATATTGCGGAAGGTTTGGCCACAATTTTTGCTCCTGCCCGCATTTTGTCTATACACCTCCACCTTACTACCCATTGCCTCATCCTCCTTAAAACATGCTTCCCCTCCCAAGCTTACTCCCACTACCACACTACCAGACACTTAGTTTGAATCTCCGTGGCACACAGTTTCTTTCCCCAACAAATTTGGTCGTCCTTCGAAGTCTCGCACCTTCAATCACAATCGGGTTCATACAACTATGGCTGACCCATTTCTGTCGACTTCATCAGACAATACAACCAAGGCGTCCTCACGCTCTACAGGTAAGTTTTCTCTGTCATCGATCCCCAACCCTACTACTCCCCTCAATGACAAGATTGACCCTCCACAATTTTTTAATTCTATTAATCTTAATCTCCTTGAATTAAACAAGACAATCACCTCTACTACTCATAATTTCCCTGGTCACTCTAATTCCGTCAAAAATTCTTTAGCTCATCTTAATTCCCCTTCTACTCCATCATCCACCCTAATGGAGCTTGATCCCAACATCACTGGACCAAAACACAAAGAGCCCCTCAACCCGCCACAAACTAACTCTACAGCCCAAGTCCAAATTACCCTCGCTGACAGGCCCAATAATGAGCCAAAACAACCCACTAACTGCTAGGCCCTTTCTTCGTAACACTACCTAATCACCCCCTTCCCCACTTAGAACCAACCACGATGGCCACTCTTTTTGATAGACATTTGCATCTATATCCATTTTTTGTGTCATATTTTAACTTGTTTTCGTTTTGCAAAAAAATTTGCAAGCGTATCCGCTTTTTCGCATAACTTCAGCCCCGTGGGCTGAAGTAGCAAAGACAATCACGCAATACTTGAGCATTCTAGTAACCGGAAGTTTAGCTGGAGTTTTTGTATTGTAACTGAAAAACTTTAGCTATGAATTGGATGGTTTCCAAGCTGTGGGGACATTCATTATTTTGTCCTAATTATTTTGTCCATTAAGCTACCCACTCCACTGTTTTTTAATGCATATTTTGTAATAGGTCAGGGTTTTAGTTTAACACATATAAGTTCAAAGTTGACAACTTAACAGTGTTTTGAACTTACAAATAATTGTAGGTAGGACAGACCATAAACTACAATATGACGAATGGAACGACCAACTGTTCTTTATGGACAGTTCATTAGGATATTAAATTAAAGAAAGAAACCAAATGAAAGATTACAACAAACTGTTCCAAATAAAGTTATAATAAGCATAAAATGGCACTCTATTTGTCTAAAGGGTGCACTTCACTGATTAAAATATTACAAATCTAACTGTGTTGTGTTGTAATTGGGAAACTTCAGCTCCAGAGCTGAAGTTTTTGTGCTGTAACTGTAGAGCTGAAGTTTCTGTGCTGTAACGGGAATAGAGCTGAAGTTTTTGTATTGTAACTGGGAAACTTCAGCTTTAGAGCTGAAGTTTTTTTTTAATATGGCCAATTACACCAGCCAAGTCGCTCATCAGGAAATGAAAAATGAGACACAAAAGCCTTGCATTAAATCTTTTCACTAGTACATTTTAATTCCTTTCCCTTCTGGAGGAGAAGAGAGTCGAACTTGTAACTAAGCAACATAGAAACTCAAAAAGCATAGCAGTGCTCTACCAGTTACTAAATACCAAAAAAACGATACTACCATTTCTGGCTCACATATTAAAGCACAAAGATACACACCTCAATTACATTAAATGAAAAAAATTACCAGTACCCATCTCTCTCTCTCTCTCTAGCCTGATATTCAGGCTACACTTAATTACTGCAGCTTTCAGATAGCGGGATCAAAACATTGTTTCTAATTTGTTTTTAAAAAATTTGATAAACATATTTATGGCAATTATCCCATGAACTTAAGTTCCATAGCAGCACCAACAACAACAGAAGAAAGATGATGAAGAAGAAGAAAACGAAGGAGGAGAAGGAGGAGGAGAAAGTGGGTTGAAGTTATTTAAAAAGTGGGTACAAGTTAAAAGTTTATAAGAAAATGGGTATAGGTTCAATGGGGGCGACCAAATAGGACGCCCCGTGCAATTTTTACCTTTCTGAGAACCAAACCACTGAAAAAGTGAACGATATTTTCACCCCTAACCTTTTATCGCCTACCCTCAACGAATATCACAAATTACGTTTCCTGTTATTGTTGCAAATTACACAAATCCTCCTACTCCCCCTCCATGTAGGATTTCAATTTCCTAGGGTTTACCTGAGTCGTCTACCCCTAATACCCCTACCCCCATAGAGTCTCATGCAGAACAATCACAATCGCAAATAGATACTCCTTCTACTACTCTATTAATTCCCTCTACAACTAAGTGTTTTGATCCTACAGAAAGTTTCACTGACACTTTTCTTACTCCTAGTTCTAGTAATAATGATGGATGCACCTTCCTCTTCACCATCACCTCCGAACAACCCTCCATCGTACATCACTCACAACTCGACTCCAAACCTGCACCCGGAGACTGGTTGGAGATAGGTCTAACGGGATACTCACTCTTTTTTTGCCTGACTCTCAACGGACAAGAAATTCTAGTAACGCTCCAAGACCCAGCATACCTTGCTTAAATAATATCAGAGGGCATAAGGATGGGGATGGACTCCCTCATGTAGTATCTTTGGAAAATGGCCCAACCTCAAGCAGTGATACTCCCTCCACTCCTGATAGAACTACCATTTTTCCATGCACCAACCTTAGGAACTCTCTTTACGAACCTGAATCCACAACAACATTTTGCCATTCCCCGAATAATTCTGAACCCCAACAATAACCCTTATGCAGTCTTCCAACTACCTTCTCATCCCAACCCTCATACCCCTTACAATCTATGAAAACCCGCCATACACAATCAGTAGGAGATCATCGACGAAATGGTACTTTTTTGGGAAATCAGGTTGGATAGAGCTCCACTAATATTGTGCAAATCTTCATACTCAAAGAGCAATATGCAAAAAAGATTCGTCTTCAATGTCCTCCAAATCTCTACAAATGCTCGCTGACCATTCGACCTACCATAAACCAGGATATCAACAAATATGCAATAGTATTGAACCCTTCACTCAAGGAGGTATCACAACAATTTCTGGAGAACTCACCAAACTTGAACCAGGAGGGTCTTTTTGCTCTACCCAATTAACTTGATCCGCCTCTACACCATCCCTCCATGAATTTTATGATATGGAACTGTCGTGGGGCTCAAAATGCTTACTTTATAAGAAACTTCCGTTCTCTTCTTAACTACCATCGACCTTCTTTCATGGTCCTAGTCGAGACACATCTTCATGATCACCAGTTTTTATGCACGGATTTTAATTTTACCAACTACCATAAAACATGCTGGTGGTATAGTTTTGCTTTGGCAAAACGAACTTTTGATTGTGGATGCAATAACCATGACATAACAGGAATTATGCGTCGTGATCTAGGTATTACCTGATCCTCACAAATGGCTATTTCCTGTAATTTATGCTAGCTCAATCTCTGATAATCGAAATATATTATGGAATAATCTAATGTGTTTATTTGATCATTATAAAGTCCCTTGGCTAATTGGTGGCGACTTTTACGATATTCTTATATCAACTAAAAAATTTCGTGGTCGTCCTATAAATAATAATAGAGCTGATCGGTATGTCGAATGCCTTATCTACTGTAAGTTAATTTATCTTGATTTCAAAGGTAGTCATCATATTTGGACGAATAAACGCAAACACCAACACAATTATTGAATGCCTTGATATACTATTTTCAAATTATGCTCCACTTAACTTTTTTCCTGAAGAGATAGTCCGCAACTTGCCTCGCACTCACTCAGACCATTAACTTCTATTATTATCCTTTGAACCTCCCATTTTTTCCTCCGACTAAAATTTTCAGGTTTGAAACAATGTGGACCTATCACCCTAAATTTTCTAATATTGTGAAATAGTGTTGGGATAACATCGGAAATATTTTTAGGCAAAAATGAACTATTATTGCTCGTTTGGATGGTGTTCAATCCTCACCAACATATTCTACTAGTGTCTTCTTACAATACTTGGAAAAAACTCTTATTGCTGATTGTAAGCACTTTATTTGCCTTGAAGAAGATTATTGATAACGTAAATCGGGAGTTCAATGGCTCAACGACGGCAATGCCATCGCAAAATTCTTACACCTGATAACATTACACTGGCAACATCGTAATCGCATTACTTCTTTTCGTGAGAGTGTGGACAACTAGTATTTTGACCAGTCACAAATCCATCAGACTATATTCTCGTACTACGTAGAATTAATTTTTACTAGTATTCCTCGATGACTGAACAGAACTTATATCACGTAGCATTATCCTCTCCAGAGATAAGTAAGCTTACTCAACCCTTAGTAACAATTAAATTTCTTGCAATCCAATCCTTTAAGGCACTATGTCCAGATGCCTTACATCCTTATTTCTTCCAAATATACTGGAACATAGTGGGTTCATCAGTTATTACTCTTTGTCAAGAGGCATATACCACTGGTACTATTCCCGAGGATGTTAATAGACTTTTCCTTTGTCTTATTCCAAAGTTAAAATGCTACTACTATTACTCAATATCAACCTATCAGTCTCTGTAACATGACCTACAAAATCATTACCCAGATTCTTGTCAATCGTCTTAAACCAATATTAGACAGAATTATTAGTCCCACCCAGTCTAGTTTTAAAAAAAACAAGTGAGCCTCGGACAATATCACTATCGTACAAGAAATAATTAATCATTGCAAGAACAATAAAAGGGAATGTAGCTCATATGCTATTAAAACTAGACTTAGAAAAGGCTTTTGATCTACTAGAATGGTCTTTTATTTGCACTACCCTCCAGTACTTCAATTTTCCGATGTCCATTATTAAATTAATTATGTCTTGCATCACTACAAGTAGTAGTTATGTCCTAATCAATGGTACTCATACTTCCTTCTTCATCCAATCTTGAGGTATATGTTAGGTCAACCCGCAAACTTTCACCCTACCTTTATATCTTGTGTATGGAGATGCTATCTCGCCGTATTAATATGGCAGTCGATTACACAATTTGGGCTCCTATAACAATAAGTCGCAGGAGAGCCCCTCTTTCCCATCTTTTCTTCATTGATGATATCATTCTTATGTGTAAAGCAACTGTCAAAAGATGCCACACAATTATTGACATTCTTAATGCTTTTAATAATGCTCCGGGCCAAAAAACAAAATCTTCAAACTAAAAAATTTTCTTCTCTAACAATGGATCTCAACATATGAAAGAGTTCATTTTACAATATTAAAGTATGTCAGAGGGACGCAACTTTGGCAAATATTTTTTCGATTTTCACTACGAGACTGGCTCCACGAGACTTTCAATTCCTACGGGATAATTTTTAGTATAAACTAGAGGCTGGAAAACCTCTTGTCTAAACTTAGCGGGTCACACTACTATTATTTCATCAACCATTAATAGTTTACTAAATCATATCATGCACTATCTTTCTATACCCCATTCCATCACTAAACAACAAGAAAAATACCACGCAATTTTTTTGTGGCACCACTGCCCAAAAGAGAAAGTTATATTTGATCAAATGGGCTATCGTGACTATGCCCAAAAGCATGGGAGGCCTTGCCATCAAGAAACGCATCCAAAAAAATTAATGCTTACCGTGTCAAAATCCCTTTAGGCATCTACTCTTCTTACGAAATACTCACATAAGCCTTTTAGCTACACATCCTCCACTTGGCGCAATATCCTTCATGGTTGGCAGTTCTGCCAACACGATCTGAAATGGAACGTTGGTAATGGCCATCTAATTAAATTTTGGATTAATAGTTGGATCTCTCATGGTCTGTCTCTACGACAACTTATAGTAGGGTCTTTGCCTCTCGATATCATTAGTCATCCTGCCTCTCTCAATATTCATAATGGGTTTTGGGACTTGTCCACTCTTCCTTTCGAGTTACCACCTGAAATTACCACATCAATCCTCTATACTCCCTTATCACTATACTTCCCACAACCTGACTCCTTTATATGGCCCCGATATCACATGGTACCTTCACAGTCAGCTCCATGTACAAGATTCTGACTAACGTTTCACCACACATTTGAGAATTTCAAATGGATATGACACCTTCACATCCGCCAAAAATTAAATTTTTTCTTTGGCTTATACCTACCATCATCATCTAGGTATCACTCAACTCCTAACGTATTTTCTGTCACTAAAGTGAAGAAACCATTTTACACATTTTATTCCAAAGTCCTCATGGTTGAAGCATGTACTTACTACCACCTACCAAGCCACACCCTACGCTATTAACTTCACTAGTCTGATGTCTTTTGCCATTTGGTCTCTTTGGTTAACTAGAAATAATAATTTATTTAACCATCTAGCTTCTGCTACTAATTCCAACACAATCATCCACAGAGCCATTGAATACCAGTTTTTAACCTCCTCGAATCATCCAATACTCAATAAAGCTTCTATTTATCTACGTTAGCACGCCCTTCAACGGGTTTCTTTAAACTTAATAGGGACGGTGCAACATCTACCCATAGTGGACATAACGGAATTGGGGGAATTGTCTGAGACTCCTTGGGAAACTGAACTGTTGGTTTTGCAGGAAATATATCAACCACGGATAGCTACACTACGGAGTTAATAACACTATTTCATGGTCTCCAATTAGTCAACCTTCGAGGTATTACTCCTCTGGTAATTGAACTTGATGCGCTAGAAGTCATCAACATGCTCTCTAGACCAATACCTCGCTACAATATTGCAGATTTCAACTGCGCCAACTGGGTGATCCACATGTACTACATACATACAGGGAACAGAACAAAGTTGTTGACACGCTTTCTGAATATGGTTGCTTACATTTGACGTCCAACTCCGTCGCTTTTTTCGCTATCCTTTGCCTTTTGTTCATGATGTGTTGCAATAAGAGCTCTTTTGAAGACTTTATTTACGACATGTCACAACTAGTTGTAGTGTGATAACTAGTTACTCCACGGATCCCACTTTTTGTAATGACTCGTCTCCGAGTCCTCCCCCATCTCCCCTTGGATTTTTTCAAAATGTTATCTATACCAGCTGACTTCCCTGTATTTTACCTCCTTAATATAATATAGTGTATTTCTGTTGGACCAAAAAAACTAGATTATGTCATGATCCTCTAAGAATACTGAACATTTACATCCTTGAATGTGACGACCCAGCCGATCATTTCGAGTATTTTAGCCTTGTTTTGCCTAGTTGATGCATTACTTATGTATAATTGTAATTACGTGACTTGAGGGGCTTATTAATTCGATTTCGATGAGGTTTTAGAGTGAATTGGGACATGTAGTCCCAAGGCTAGAAGCTTAAGTTGTAAGAGCTGACCGGAGTTTGATTTTTGTATAGACGACTCTGGTTAATAGGTCTGTATTGTAATTCGAAGGTTAATTTTGTGATATTTTGCGAAAGTTGGAGAGTTGAAGGTTTGGAAGGTTCATAGGTTTTATCGGGATTTAACTTTATTGATATCAGATTCAGATTATAGTTTCAGGAGTTTGAATAGGTCAATTATGTCATTTGGAACTTGTATGCAAAATTTGAAGTCATTATGGGTTTAATTGATATGGTTCGGTATGAGTTTTAGAAGTTGAAAGTCCATTAGTTCATAGGCTAGAATTGAGGTATGATTCGTAGTTTTGATGTTGTTCGGTCTGATTTGAGGCATCGAGTATGTCTGTATTATATTTTAGGATTGGTCAGTGTGGTTGGACAGTGTCCCAGGGCCTCGAGTGTGTTTCTAATAGATTTCGGGTCATTTCAGACTATTTTGGCATTTCCGATTTCTAGTGCTACCCCACCTGCGAAGGAAGGGCCACAAGCACGAGCCCGCAGATGGAGTTATGGAGCCGTAGAAGCGAACAGGGCTGGAAGCACGGGGAGTCCGTAGGTGCGGAGTTTTACGGAAGATGCATGGGCGCACCTGCGAGGTAGTGACCGCATAAGCGATTCCGCTGAAGCGGTGGGTGAACCATAGATACAGATGGTCGGGAATTAGTGGATTCCACATATGCGACGGGATTTCTGCAGGTGCGGTATCATAACTGCGATGATTTTTACCGCAGATACAGTATTCCTAGGCAGCTTATAAGATTTTGAGGGTTTGGTCATTATTATTATTTCGAGTTGTGGAGCTCGGTTGCGGACAATTTTTGAGAGACTTTTGTCAACACCCGGAATTTCCACCTTCGGGATCGCGATGACATCTAACATTTCATTTGCTAGGCAATCCAACTGTATGCTGCGAAATCAGATGGCCTAATTTCTTGCTATAAGTCACTTCAGAAGAATGTCTCGAGACCCCGAGGACGTAGAGTTGCGGCCGAGTTCCCTCCCTCGGGGCTCGTCGAGGCCCGACTCAAAGAAGACGAAGATCGAGGCTAGAGCAAGATGGGGAATTCCCAAGGCACGCGGTTAAGCCTGATAGAGCCGGCCTACCCAGAGCCTGTATCGAGGTGTCGCTTCTAGCCGTCCCATCTCCATGCTTTTATAATTAATGTACGTTGTACTATAACAGGATTCCCCTCCTATATAAAGGGAATCCTCACCACTTTGTAAGGGGCTGCTGTTGCTCCAACTACTCTACACAAGATCAATAATATCTCTCTCTCTTTCTCTCTTTTCTTTCTAACTTACTCGCTCGAGGCTACTCTTTCCATTTATTGCTTTCATACTTATTCTTCATTTATTGCTTGATATTGGCAATAAAGAGCCTTCTATAATTATATCTTAACTGTTATCCCCTTCCCGGTTACCCCCGATAGCTCGAGCTCGAGACGGGTATCGACCTCGAGGCCTTTCATCGATCAGTCCGAAACCTGGGTAGCAAGCCTCTCGGTTTGATTTTTAGAGTCTCATTTACAAATTTAATTGTTATTACCATTTTTACGGTAAATAGTTTGGCGTCCACCGTGGGGCTAAAAATAATAGTGATTATTTTCTTGCTGGTTTCATTACACAAACGCAAGTTATCTTTCAAGCTTTTTCTTGTCCAAGATCTTTTGATTTCAGGTCAAAATGTCTGGCTCGGTAAACAGAGTTAAGAACGACTACCTTGACAATCACGGAGAAAATGGTGTGGTTGTTTCAGTCATTGGCGCTCCACCGAAGAACCCCGATAACGCACCTGGACCGATTCCAGCAGACGCGGGTTTGCAAGACGCGCAACAGGTCCACAATTGGTTATCTTTCGCAATTTAGGCTTACCTAGTCGTATAGACTAGGTGCCGTCACGATGGTTCACGGAGGGCGAACCAGGGTGGTGACAGCCTATCGCTAGAGAAAAGCGAATCCGGGGATGTATTCCCAAGGACGTCCTCACATTCAGCAAAGAGGACACCGAGACCGTGTCTGAGCCTCACATCGACGCACTGGTAACCTTCTTCCTCATTCGATCCATTTCAAATAAACATGTGCTCATGAATTCAGGTAGCTCAATCAACATTGTCGGGCCGAGGATGATAGGGCGGCTTGGACCACCGGACCAAATCACGCCTGCCTCTCGAATCTTTGGCGGATTCCACACGGCAATCGAGACGACGTGAAGAAAGACCGTTCACTCAGTCAGCACAACTGGCGTAGACCGGAACGCCAAGTTTCGTATCATCAAAGGAGGCGCAATGCATGAACGCCTTATTCAGACGACCGCAAACGCACTGTGTGAAAGCAGTGCCGTCCCTCCTTTGCCGAAGGATGAAATCCACGGCAAGGGACGGAATTAATACCGTCGGGAGGGAGCAACACGCAGTGAGGGGAATGTTCGCGTCAGATAACTTATCGCCGACACCAATATCTCCACTCTCGAACGAGTCAAAGGGTAATCAAACCATGTCTTCGGCTAAGCCCGATTAAACACAACGGAGGGTTGTACAAGAGTCCTCGCTTCAAAACAGCAGGGACATATCGAGCCTCGAAACATCGCCTACGCAACCCGCGATAAGGTAAAACCACTTCCCTCCTTCGTTATTTTACAATAACCCGTATGCAGACACCCAGCCAGGGCGTTCAGAAGTGTTAACCCTACCCAAAGATCCCAAAGCCTTAATGGCACCCATCGTACTCTTTCCCCTCAGCCAAGCTTTCACCCCGAAGAGGGTCTCGCCAGCAAGGTTCTTAGCGGGATGACGTACCTCCTAAGGAGGATCCGACAAGCTTGCAGGGCTTCTTTTCCAATCAACCTCGAACGTTGAAAGGTACCCCCTTGAAGACGTCGTCTGCTCGGAAGGGCCGGGGAACGACAAACTAAGTTCCAATAGGAAACAATGTACCGGGCCAAACGGTCAAAAGAGTCATGCCCCCGCAGGCCGAGCTAACGACAACGAAACATGTACTTACATTAAGCAATCAAAGAATATCTTTCTCCAAAAGCATCTCGTTCTCCAAAGAAAATTCAGCATACCCACGACAAGGATCCCTCAATCGAGTACGTCTCGAAACACTCGGAGACGTAGCGTTAACAATTTGATACACACATGACCTCAGGGTCGGAACTCCGCGCTCGTAAGGCATCAACGAGGCAATTTCGAGCTCACGAGTAATGACTTTCGAGTCTAAGCAAACTCGATGACTCAGAAACTGTCGACAATCGCCATTCACTGAAAAACCTGAGGCCGTAAGACCCCGAGTGGGCAAACTCGGTCTAGCCAGATCTATTTTACATAACAACATAAAACTGTAAGACCTCAACAAGCATAAAAAAACTGTAAGACTTCAACAGACATGAAAAAAGTGCAAGACCTAACATGCATGAAAAACTGTAAGACCTCAATAGACATGAAAAAACTGTAAGACCTCAACAGGCATGAAAATTTTGTAAGACCTTACTATAGGCAACTCAAACCCGAAGTTTGGGCTATGTGTCGCATTTGTAAGACTCACGAAAGGGCATACTCTCGATGTAGATGCCTAAACTATTATACGGAATCAAAAACGACTCCGACCAAACACATATGACTGCGGTCAAAACAGCTGCACCAGCCAAATTAATGCGACTCGGGGACGCCCGACCGTCGCTAACAAAATCATAGGCCATTACTTCGAATCTACTTCGAAAAGACCCGTTAAAACAGGCTACCTTAGACAGGCAAACGAGAGTCGATCATGTCAGCTCCAAATCACAAAGGCTTCGAGCTACTCAGCCTACGAGCTAAACCTTCCAAGGTGCTCGAACATCGCCGCTAACGACTTGAAATCGAGGTTCTTCCCGAATCGACGACGGGTCAGGAAAAATCATTTCAAAAAGTCCTTAACGAGAGGAAAACAAAGCCTACATATGCCCACGGGCAAAAGCGTAAGATCCATTGTCGCCAGCCAAACGAGCTTTAGGGACGCACACTAAAAGGTCATAATGACCAAAAGCGTAAGAGCCACTGTTTCCAGCGTAAAAATTGAAAACTTGAGGATTAAAATGAGCTTGAGTCATAACCCGATTCGGAGACCAGATCCAAAATAGTTAACTATACATGCCTAAGGGCACAACGTAAGGGCCATCGTCACCAGCTTCACAAGCCTTCGGGCCACATACCTAAAAGGTCGCTTCGACCCCAGGCGCAAAAGCCATAATCGACAGCACCTTGAGGGTTAATTAAGCTCGAGTCGCAACCCGACTTAGAGACTGAACCCAAATAGTTAAAATACAAATGCCCAAGGGCAAGGCGTAGATGCAAAAGCTTGGGGGTCGAATAGGCTCGAGTCGAAACCTGACTCGGAGACTAAACCCAAAAGAGTTGAACAAAGCAAAAGAGCTCTAACGCCAGCTTGCACTAAAGACCGCGTCAACCAAGCGTATAAACGCCTCCGGTCCTGCCTGATGAGCTCCGGAACCGTGTTACGAATCTAAGGATTCTCGCCAACTCCGAAACCAGCACGCCTGGTCAAAAGCGAATCAGAAAGGGATATATAAGAGATAAAGCTTCAGGTTTTCTTTTATTTACACACGCAATAGGTGCGTTCTCCATGTACAAACGTGCTCTGCGAATATCACATACAAAATGGCAAAATCTACGCCCCGCTTCAGAAGGCTACGACCTACCAGCCTCATCTTCACTCTCCGCGATGTTGGCAAGAAGTGACCGAGCATCACGCTCGTCTGCCCTCGCGTAAGCCAGCTCTTCCTGAAGAACAAAACCCCTGGCGCTGATCTCT